AAGGGGCTGAAAGGGACCATTTGGAACTGCGGAGCAGACGTCAAAACTTTAAATCACAACAGTTTCAGCTTAATTTCCCGAACATTTATCCATAAAGATAGATGGATAAACAGGACACTTACTTGTTTTCAAAAACAATTGTGAGTGAGTCTTCGTGGACATCTTTGATGAAGCCCTAAAAGAAAAAACAGAGAGACAGGATTTTAATTGCATGAATGAGCCAGAGAGACAGTGAGGAGGGGTGGGGCTGTGAGCATTTTATTCTCATGTAAACAACATTAGCCATGCTAACCAACAGCACTGAGACCATTGCTGAAAAAGAGCATCTAGGGCTTTTTTGGGAAGCCAAGACATAACTGACACAATTTCTCTGGCTGTGAGTTCTGTGCTGGATAAAGTGACGATGAACACTGACTCCTCCTGACAGCCCGGAAATATCTCTCGCATACACACACACACTTAAAATGCAAGGGCTTTTTCGTTGTGTGTAAGTTTGAATACTACAGTTTAACAAGAGGCAGTTTTATGAGGGGACATGTATGGGGAAGGCTCACACAGCAGAGCCTATATGGACGTATTATCTCATAGAAAACTACGAGCGAGCGAGCGAGAGAGAAATAAATCTGTCTCGGGATGCCATAAAGTTTGAGCAAAAAAAAAACCCACCAGCAAGCAAGGATCAGACAGGGGAAAGTGGAGGGTGTGGCGTGTCCCTTGGTGTGACACTACCGTATATGGGACAGAGAGGTCAGGCAGTACCTGCTGGAAAGAAGCTGCTTATGTACTGCAAGAGCTGGCTAGGGTTTCAGTGTGCAATGCGTGTTGACATGTTAGGATTTCTACACCCCTTTACATCACATTAACGGTCCAATCTGAATACAACTCAGATCATCTATCACCTCCTTTTTGTGTTATGAGATAGTCCAAGTTAATGGTCAAAGTATGCCTCGCATGAATGATTAGCATCCGTCTCTCACTGTAGGGATCCCAGTGGCATTAGGATGCTATCATCTGGAGAAAAAGACAACAGGTCTGACTGAAAAAGTGCTCATCCTCCATTTTCCAGAGGCACATTAGGAGACCGCTGCATGCGCATGTTATGTCAGGTGGAGTATTGCTTCCATCAAGTAGTATCAGGTCAAGGGGCAGGCAAGCCCTGTTTCTAACGTGACATGGGGAGGGGGGGGCGTTGAGTGGTCACTGGCTATTCCACAGTGACGTCCACTCATCCTCAGGCCAACAGCCACATGCAGGTCAATGTGGTGAGGAAGGTCCACAGGGGGCTGGTTTGCCAACTTCCTCTCAAAAAAAAAGACGTGATGCATTTTTTCAACAAAAAAGACAGATACGCATTTGGTTTAATGGGAAAAAAATATTAATAAATGTGCAAAGTTCCTTATTAATGCCAAATATCCACTCAAAACATAAGAATTTAATGTGGAAAATCACTCACAATTAACATTAATAAAACTGTTTAGATCCTTGTTTAGGCATTTTATCAATTGGGATGGTATGGGCCTGCTGTTACAAAGATGCAGACTGTACACAGGAGAAATTGCCATTACTTGAAGTTGACAGGTGCAGTTTGTCCCCAACAGGTTGTGATTCTGAATCATAAACTAACTGACTCACCGACAGCAAAGTGAAGGAAGTGCATTGAAAAAGCACAATCAATTTATACCCTGTGTGAAACAAAACAGAAAATAAAGCAATACAAGTCTCCCAACAAGGAAAACACCATCAACTGGAGTATGACATTTAGAATGTCACTACAGGTAAGTGTCCATGTCACCCACTAAATCAGAGCTCCGAGATAATGGATGTAATGGAGGAGTGGAAATGTTCATTTATGCCCTAGCCAAACTGTCACCCTGTAAAACAGAACGACAGGTGAAGCCACACCAAGAGTAAATATAGGCTCATCCCTAAAGCACCATGTGGTCACTTGACAATCTGAACAACTGGAGGAGAAGAGCACATGGAGAAATAAACATGTTTCAAATTAAATAGGAATGTCACAAAATATTAAGACAAGAAAACAGGTTGTTGATAAGGATGATATCTAACTTCATCAGGTTTTTAACAAAAAAGCTCAAGTTACCCTATATGATAACTGCTCACCAAGACCCAAATGCATAGGACTCATACAAACATTGATATTGCAGCTGTCTTTTTATAAACAATAATGTAAAATTCAATTGGAAGCCACTTCATTGACATCTTATTTTGATGTCTGAAAGCCTGTGTCTAAATATGACACTACACTTGCCTTCTTCTTTTGAAAAAGAGGCAGAATTGAAACAGAAACTCAGACTCTAGCTCTTCCCTGTCAGGGCAATACACACACGACCTAAGGTACAGTTGTGCAGCTGGAGGTGGGTAAAGGTACACAACAAATGTAAAGTATTAATGTAGTACTCATCATACTGAATCAGAGCAGGAACTGAACAACAGCTGTGTGATCTGCAGCTCGCTTCGGGTTTAAATGACTGCATCCAACATTGGAAGACAAAGCAAAATGCTATGAAAAATGGGTTATGCCATTTTAAAACTATGAGAATGTGGTTCCAATTACATGCTCTGTATTTTTTTTAAAGGGAACAAATATAGGCCGTACATGGTGATGACAAGTGTGCCTAGCTTATGAGCTAGCTAGAGCTAGCTACCCACCCCACAATGGCCAACCCTAATGGAAGGGAAAAACCATCCCGGTTTGTCAGAACTGGTCCAAAGCTACAATTTGTCAAATAGTCCATGTCTATCTAGGGCTGGACGTAGAAAGCAGGAAGCTGAACAGTTCTTCCTAAACTAAACTTTTATCTGGGACAACTGGAAACTACGACTTTAACCAGGTTACCTTGTAGAAGGCCCCATTCGAGCCGCGAACTTCCACGGCCAGCCCGTCCATACTCGTCGGTACGTCTCCACAGTTGAGCTTTTCTGTCGGCGCTACGACTCCCGGCGAGTCGGGTATCGTAAGGACCCCCAGCTTCGCCGGCCCGTCGGCGCTCTCCGGCCGCTTGTGGATTTCCAGTGTTTCGGGTGGCAGGAGAGGGGCAGAGGTGAAGGGGTTGGGAGATGGGTGTGATGGTGGCAACTATTGCAACGCAGACGCTGTCTCCAGCACCAGCAGCTCCTGAAGAAGCTCCGTTGTCTATTTCTGTCTGAACGTGGGATTTGGTGCTCGCGAGCTGAAAGGCACCGCCACGAGCAATGGTGAAGTCTCGACGTGCGCGAAGAGCAGAAGAAAGCTAATGATGCTACGGCAGGAGGATGCTAGCTGATGGATAATTAGCTGGGAGGCTAGCTATCAACACCTTGATCCCGTCAGTTTTCAAGGATGCTAGCTGCCTAGCATGTGATAGCCTGTCTGCGTTTGTTGGTTGTGCGTGTGGCGCAGTTCTTGCGTTGAATAATTTCGTCACCGGGGGTCGTTTCCTCAGTCTGTGGTGCAATTTCAGCGGCGTTTCTCTCCAAAAAGCGTTTGAGCTGCACTGCCGCCCGGCGACTCCTTACTCCAACTACCCGTCCTCACAAATACACGCCGATAGAGTGAATCAGAGTGGGACTGAATGACCTCGAACATCCCACCCCTCCATGACAAAACCCCGCCCATTGGGAAACCCAGGGTTATGATTGGTCAATGACCTAGGCAATCAACACTAGCTGTCACTTATTGGTTTAGCAAATAAGGGTTGGTCCATAAATGTGACCAATACTACCTAGGAAGTTTTATCCTCACACAATCCATTGGTTTTTCTATGTGTCAATTAGAAATGTATTCAAATTGACTGGCTCCATAGCTAATTTTGCCCACTCATTGATGAGTAAGGACCACCAGCCCCTGTGTAAACAGCAATACAGTAAAGTACTATACATATAATGTATCACGCAAAAGTTCCAGTCCATGCTCAAAACACCAAGATTTACACTGACAGAGGGAAAAACTGAATAATTAAACCACAAAAGCCACAACAATGTTATTTGTCACAACATATTGCAAAAATAATAATGAAGAAAGAATTTCAAAACTGTCTACGAAAAGTTAGGTTATAGAATGGTTGCAAAGCACCGGGTGTGAAGCGGTGTGAAGCCCAAAGAAGACCAGACATGCAGGGACAGTTGGGAAGAAACAGCTGTGAGAAGCACACATCAGAGGCCAGAGGTCACAGGGAAATCCCCACAGGAATAATAACAGTTGTTGAAAACAAGGTTCAATATGGATAGGTTTCCATAATATTGCCGGCTACCTTAATATTCTATCCATCACAGAGAGTCCTTGCACAGCTGTTAAAATGGCGCATAAAAAATAATTCTGAATAAAAAGGCTCAGAATACATTATTTGGATACAGCAGCCAGGGACTCAACAAATAAAAGTATCATGTAATCCCCTCTAATCAGCTTTCAATTACTGACAATAGTCATAATAATAGCCTGATTACTTAATTGTAAGACATGCCCCCAACTCACTATAACCCCCTGTTAGTCAAGCTCTTATCATGATTTGCCATTTGACTTTGAATTTATTTTTTCCCCACTGAAACAAGTACAGAAAAAGCTAACAACCACTACAGGACTGAAGGGTGGGATTAGGGAGCATTTTTCCTAGTAGGGCTCCTTTATCACAAAGTCCAGCCCTGATTATTGATGTTCCTAATTTATCATAGCTTTTATTTATACCCTCCTAGTGAACTGCTGTGAAAGGTATTATGTTGTGCTCTTTATAAATACAATCTATGGTTGTGATCCTTTACACATCACTACTTATAAGAGACCTACTAACACATAATGAAATGGGATTATAGTCTGAATATGCAATCTGATGATGATGAACTTTTAATTGTGCACTATGTTATGCCCTTTTTTGGTAAATGTATTCACTATGATTCTTTTCTGTTAGAAAACATTGAAATAACATGTCCCCTTTCGCAGTGCACGCTCCCGCGAGTGGCAAGCACGTTCTCGCTCTTGATTGACCACATGGCTCACATGTTAGCCAATAGGAACGTTTCCTTCGTGCGCGCGGAACTTGATTCAGGAAGTACGCATTTCATTTTCTTGTTCCTCACAAATAAGCGAAAACATGTCTTTAGAAACCTAAAACCTGATAATTTACTTGTTTAAAAAGGAAAATAATTCGGCCGAAAATGTCGGCTGCTGAGTCTACATATGTATCAACGCTTGGAAAAGGCGACAGTCTGCACCAACAGGGTAAGAAAACATGTCTAAATTACTTACTTGCGTTGAGGTTAGCTGCTGTTTAACTTACTCTGACAAATCAATGCTCAGAAACTCATTTAAGATTGAAGAGGAGTTCAAATAAAACGTTAAGATTTCTTAATCGTATCCTAAAACCAGTGTAATAAAATGTGTATTAGTTAAATGGAGAGGTCGAAGAAGCAAGAATGCAGTGTCGTGTAACAATGCTCAGTTACAAGTAAAGTTGTGCATTTCAAATTCTACTTAAGTAATAGTACAAAAGTATAATAATCAAAATATACTTAAAGTAATAATTATGCAGAATGGCCCATTTAAGCACCATATATTTGATAATATTGTAATATAATTATGAATGTGTTAATCACTTCAATGTTGCAGTTGGTACAAATTGGGTTTGTTTGAGTTAGTTACTAACGGGCAGATGAATGTATTATTATATATCATAATTTATGAGTTGATTTACATTTTGTGTGGGTAATCTGAAATCTGAAAAGTATCTGAAAAGTATCTAAAAAGTATAAAGTGGCATTATGTGCAAACACTCAAGTAAAGTTTTTACTCAAGAAAATGTACTTTCTACCACTGGTTAAATGTGAGAGTAGTAGCATAGGCTGAATTAGACTGTGCTATTCAGAATCTCCTGTGATTTTGTCCGGCCATTGATACTAAGGTTACTGTATTTACTGTCCTCCCATCCAGTTCTCGCCTCCTTCCCTCTGTGTGACATAACAGAAGAGGATCTAACCCAGAACGCTCAGTTCTGTAAACTCCTGGCCACCCTGGCGCAGCATGTGGACCAAAGTGGACTCACTGTCCCACTGAAGACCGAGCTGGAGAAGGTATAAGCAAGCTTGGACTACATCTTACAATGTTTCTTACCACATTTGCTGACATACATCTCATTATTTCGCAAGATTGACTATTAATCAGCATCAGAATTCCTTTATTAGTCCCGCAGTGGGGAAATGGACACTAACTTATTAAATATAAAGAATAAGCACACATTAGGAAAATAATAAAATTAAAGAGAAATAAGTACACACACAACCATGGCTAAAAATGGGTGATATAAGTAACATATTAAGGTGTTGAGACATTATAAACACATTTTGGGACATTCATTAAAATGTATGTTTTACTTAAAAGTGATTTTTGAATGGTACAATTGCAAAACAGTGTAGTGCACATTGCAGGTTTATTGCACAAGATTGCATCAAACTGTATTGTTATTTGATGCTACTCAATCTACTACTAAAATAGCTACATCTATCCTGGAATTGCCACTTAACGAAGAGAAGAGAAGTTATTCATATTTTATTACAAAGTAAGAAATCTACGTCTTACTGACATCTACTGGTAACTGTAAAGAATAGCAATCACAGAACGCGTAGCCCTGCACATGTGTGTGTATTGATGTGCGCTCACACATGCTTTATTCCAGGCTGAGCAGAAGCTGCAGAGCCAGAGGCGTTACTGGCTGCGCTCCGAGGGGATCCACAAAGCGCTGCAAGAGATGACCCAGGACCACTGTATCAGGAAGCACCACGCCACTGTACCACCTGACCAGAACATGGTACCTTTCACACACTTCAACAAACACAACAAATGCACATGAACAGCTGTCAATTTGTGTGTGTGTGTGTGTGTGTGTGTGTGTGTGTGTGTGTGTGTGTGTGTGTGTGTGTGTGTGTGTGTGTGTGTGTGTGTGTGTGTGTGTGTAGTTCTATGAGACGATGGAGAAATGTCTGCTGGTGGCTCAGTGTATCAGACAGCTGGATCCCAGTAGCACTACCAACCAGGACCAGCCCTCTGTTCTGGGTCTGACCCCCCAACAGATGATGGAGCTCATGCCATTGGAGAAGGTAAGTCATATACACATAGTTCACATACATACTTAAAGAAGAATTAATAACTTGGGTTAGCATTCACACTGTACATTTTATATTTAATTGAATTATTTAATTTATATTTAATTGAATATTCCCTTCCTTGCACACTTGATGTTAATAATATCCTGCTTATATTGTGTATATTGTGTTAACAGAAAATTGGCCTATTAATAGTGTTTTTATTTGTCAGCATTTTTATAGATTTGTTATCTTCACGTTCATCTATATATTTGTCTTACTCTCTAATGCTTTTTTATTTTCTATTTCTATTTTGAGATGTTTCTATTTTAGAATTGTTTATTTCTCCTCTTTTAATTTGTTATTATATTATGGATGACACAGTGGCATTAAAGAAGACTTTATTTCAGAAAAGCAACAAAGAGACTTATTCTCAAACTATTATGTTTTTATCTTTACCAGAATATTCAAAGAATGAAACAGAGTCTACCGAGAGAGCTGGAGAAACATCTGAAGACAAAGTGTTTGAGCCTCCTCTGTTACTATCAACCTGAATGGGGTACAGTATTACCGATTCATCTGTTCCCACCAGTACAAATCCTCACTAAATGTCACTGTCTTTGTTTCACTGCATTGTTCTGACCCGGGTGTTGTTTTGTGATCTCTTGTAGAGAACGAGAGTGAGGGTCTGAAGAACAGCAAGTTGTCTCATCTATCAGCCCAGATGGGCAATGAGAAGAAAAGAGCAGAGAGTCTGAAGGAGAGCAGCCGGGAAAACAGTGTCCTCCTGCAGAGACAGACCCAGCTCTACCTCTCTGTAAGTGCTCTTTCAACTGCAAATAGAAAAGCCACTAAATGACCTGTATTTATGGCACATTATAGGTCCAATTCCAAACTGCCCCCTATCCACTCCTACTCCGTCTGTAGTCACACTCACAGCTAAACAAGGTTCCTTTATTTCGGGTCGAGGGTGTAGATCCAGTGGCTTTATAACAAACTCCCCTCTCTCCGACAGAAACAGGAAATTTAACAACAGTTTCAAATTAGCGTCTCTTGGACACAAAATAATACAAATAAAACTCTTTAATGGCTTTTCCTTTTTGTAAACCTCTTTTTGTTTGGAAATCCGATGTTTATAAGCTGCTTGTTTTTGCAACTGTCCCTGTAAATATACAAAACTTTACAATCAAATGCAGACGTTTACTTAACACAGGTATATGATCCTAAGTAAAAGAATATGAGGTAACCATGAAGTTAACATCTGTATGGCTATATGAAATGTCTATCTTGTTTTGCGCAGTTTACTAGTAAATGTTTGCACGGAACTTCAGGGTAGGATGTATGGGCCGGTTTGGTATTGGGCCATACTGTTACATTTGATTTATTTAGTTCCATTGTTTTTTTCTTCTTGTGTCCAGGAACAGATCAAGTGTATTCAGCTTCTCCAGTCCCTCATCTTGGACCACAGGCTGAGGATCCTGACAGATCTGGATCGGAAGAAGTTAGACTACTTTGAAGGAAAATGTGAATTAGTCTTGCAGAGGATCAAGTAAGCATTCTTATACATATCCATCCATCCATCCATCCATCCATCTTCTCCCGCTTATCCGTGGTCGGGTCGCGGAGGTAGCAGTTCCAAATACACGATATATTTTAATACAAAAATAGTCACTGGTGTTCTTATCTAGAAAGACTTACTAGGAAAATAAACTCCAATTGTATTACTTGCATTTTATTTTTTACATGTATTTCTCTTTTTTCTTCAAAGGACTGAGATGGTGGAAATTCAGCTGGACACGTACAAAGTGGACACAATATCTGCTCATACAAAAATGAGGCAAGATGCTTTATGCTATGTCCTATGTTTTGATCAATTGCACCTTCTGTTTGGCACTACAGTAATGTTAATGAATGTAATGCATACTCTTTCTTACGAGCGTTTGTCATTGAAATATCTTTAAATGTATCGTAGCTCCCTGATATCAACCCTGTATAACATTTTGACAGTAACTCCACTCTGTCTCACTTGTATTTCTCTAACAAAATGTTGTTGTTGCGTCTACATTTTAGAGAGAAGCTGTCGTCTGATCTGAAGGCCAGTCAGGTGGAGAAGCACTCCGTTGAGTTGAAACTGGCCTCCTTTGAGATGTTGGGGAAAGACTTTGAGGCCTTGGCAGAGGAGTACTGCAGACTACGGCAGGAGATAGAAATGAATACCTGGGCTCTGAAGGAGTTCACCCAGTGCAAGAACAAGTGAAGGTCATATCTGACAATGGGACAACAGCCAGCCATCTCATAGTGTGTCAGTGCTCACAACGACATGCTGGCTTTTGGATGCTTGTCACAGACAGTGTGTGGATATTTGCCTCCCATATTACTCCTATTTAGAATTATGTTTAATAACTGCCATAAACTCTTAAAATAGTCAACCACATGATAATCAACATTTATATGTTTCTACCTGAACCCATTTTTAGTTCACGTTTGCATTTCTCTTTGTAATTAAATGCAGTGTTACACTTAGCTTTACTTTCCGTCTCTGAATGATAACTTTCTTATTTACACATACATACATATATGAGGTTAAGAAAGTGAGAGTTAGTAGTATATTAATATTTACAATGCAAAAGTCTTGGTGACCTGATCTTACTTCACCTAAAATACAAATGACGAGGTGTATAGGTAGCATTTTCTTGTAACACTTTAACTCAAGCATCAACACAGTCAAATGTGCCAAAGATGGGCAAGAATTGTTGTCTATATTGTAATATAAACCTGTAATAAAATAAACTAGATTGAGTAAGTGTGAACATGCCGTTAATATTTTAAAAATAGATGACTGCCAGACAAATAATCCTTATAAAAGATTAATTATCAGTTTTTCGATGTAGCAACTAATTTTCAGTCGTCTCCTGTTGGAGTATTGATGTTTTCATCAAAAACACTTGTGAAGAATTGAGGAAATAATTTTTTGGTAAACACTTTTGACATTTTGCTGCCTTTTGCAGGTGTATCCACAAGATGGCAGTATACTTTCAATTTTATATTTTATATTCATATTTTCCACCGGACAGTTATATTTTTGCAGACATGCTTGTTTATGCAACAATTTCACTTTTTCACTGTATAATATCACACAAAGTAATGTTGTTGTTCAAAGCGCAAAAAACCCCATATGATTTAATGTGATGAATGTAATAATCAGTCTATTTTATATACTGTAGTCTATGCATTTTAAGTATGTAAACATAATTTTCCACGTCTCTAAGATGCTGGGAAATGTTTAGGAACCTTTATATACACATTATATGGTAGGAACCAGTTAAAAAGTGCCTCTAATTACTTATTAGACATGGACTATTAAGTATTTTTGTCATAGTCATTTATTTAACTTTATCAGAGCAAGTAGCAATCCCTTTTAAGCATGTTTTATCAAAGCAGCATTTAGGGAATTGTGTTTATTGTTTTTGACTGTATTTGTTATTTGACGCTGGCTGGTTGTCTTCTTATCATTGACGATCTTTGGTTACGTTTGCTTTCCACTGAGGAGAAACGGAAGTAGGTAAGGGTGAAGCATCTCGCCTCGTTAAACCTGATATCTCTGCTCTCATCAGCAGCAGCAGCCCCGCCTCGCGACGCCAACCGCTGGCTGGTTCGCCTCCAACACAACCTCCCCACATCTGGCTGTCACAACGTGCCGCTCCTCCGGTACCGCGGCATGCTCACATACACAGCGAGTGGAATTTAACAAGAGGGGCACAATGTCTGAGGTGCGAAAATTCACAAAGAGGCTAAGCAAACCCGGGACGGCTGCGGAAGTCCGACAGAGCGTGTCGGAGGCTGTGAAGAGCTCCGTGGACCTGGTGGTGAGTTAATGCTGTGTGTGGACCGGCGGCGGTCATTTTAAGCTAATAGGGATAATGTAACTGGTTAGCCCTCTTACCCCCCCCCCGGTTTCCTTGGTGAATAACGGGTCAGCTTTTCCCTAGTTCTTTACATTCCTTCTGTACATTTTCCACATCTCTTTCAGTCTCTTTTATTTGTGTCTTTCCAGTTTCATTCAGTGCGCGTGCCCCACCAGTCTTTACGTTAAACCTAAAGCTAATGTAAGCCCCGTGTCAGAATGCAATGGAACAATTTCCCTCGCATTCTGTGTAAAAGACAGGAGCTATTATATTCCGCGAATACAACTCATATATGTTGGCTTCGTTTTTCTAAATGACCGGCATTACAAAATAGTCTAACATTGTCCACATGGTTTTTCTGTCATGTTCGGCTCCTTTTGTGTGCTGGCGGCTGAGGAGCAGTGCCAGTTGGACAGCTGCAGCATGGCTTCCCTGTCCTTGTCTTGGAGTGTGTGAGCCTCTTTATTTCGGCAGGAACTGGGCACATTGAGTCAAAGAAAGCAGACCATGCATTCCTTCAGGGTTGATGTAAATGGCTAATGACGTGTGTGCAAAGCATAGGGTTTTTCTTTTCTTCTCCTTTGGAATCAATAGCAGTGCTGGTGGCTGATATTGGCCTTGAACAGACTGCATGATGAAGGATTATAGGCGCAGTGGTTTGAATTGAATAGCATTGAGGATCCTGCTGATGCAGCATTTGTATGTTTGAATGGGCTCCCATGTGTGGGTTGACTTCTTTTCATAAGCATGTCTAAGGCGTTACATTGATTTGTCTTGAAACTTCCTGTGATATCAATGCAGATTAAGCCCGCTGATAACTTTTCTATTTGTTATAACCGAAAATCTGGCTAACTGATATGAAAAACTTCCATTTTAAACACAAAACTCTTAAATATGTGGCTGTTTTAGAAAGTTGAGTAGCTTACACTGGTGTAAATAAACTCTTGTTCCCTTGGGATAAAGTCTTATGATGGTCATCAAGGAGTGTGACGCACTAGTGTAATAACCATGTGATAAGGTTTTGATTTCCGGAACAGAGGTGGGAGTGTGTGCATGTCTGTGGGTGAGTTTTTGGCCACGTGTGATGTGTCTTCTGATAAGTTTTTCCTGTTGAAGAGTATCTGCTCATCTTGTGGAATAAGTGGTTGGCTTGGTAACTTGAGAACAAGTCTAGTTTTGTGGAGGGAGATTCCCTCAGGCCAGCTGTGACCGTGCTTCCTGTGTGACTGTTCATTATGAACATCTCTATAAAGTCTGTCCTGTTTTCCAAGTCATTCCTTACATGCCTGTATTCTTGGATTTTCTAGTGAACAAATACAACTTTATTAAAGGAAATAGGAAAGTGCTGAATACAACAACAACAACAACAACCCTTGGGCCAATCGGCATTACGTTGCTACATCATGTAATTGCTTCTTCGTTAGTGGTCTGGGGTTCACAGAAAGTCATGTTGACATGTTTTATCAATTCTAGGTGTTTGTTTAGTTGTTCTTCACACAAAACTGTTTGGGAAGCAGTGGACAGTAATTGTTGTTAATTGGAATTTGGTAGTAGTCCTTAATGGATTACTACATTCTGAAAGGTTTAACCGTTTATGTTTAGATTATTATAAATATGTTATTTGTACAGTAGTTCCCAATCTTGGAGGGCAAGCACCTATAACAGGGAGCAGCAAACCCATTGCATATAACTTAAAGTAAGAATTCGTTGTGATCATTTTCATGCAGGTGTAACTAATAGAAGTCTTAATTGGTACATTTCATGTCAGTGAGTCATCTTTAAGGTATTTGATTTCACATGTGTAATTATTCCACCCTGACAAGTGAAAATATTTGTAATCCTTCAATTCCAATGGGAAAGTAATTTTTTTAAATGTTAGAAACAATTCTTGAGGAATGCACTGTTGCCATCTTGGTTGATATGACACAAATACGTAATAGTCCCTATAATCCTTATTCATCCTTACTCTGCTATGCAAGCCTAAGTACCAGTCATTTTGCAGCAAAACATGTCTATATTAGGTAAATCATTCCAGGGTTCTTACGGTCATTAAAGACCTGGAAAAGTCATGGAAATTCAAAATGCTAATTCCAGGCCCTGGAAAAGTAATGGAAAACAATATTTTCCCCAAAGTTTTGGAAAAGTCATGGAAATATAACTAAATTTGCATCAAATATAATTTATATTTTATCTAATCGCCGAAATAGTAATACTATAATGATAATAAATACTGTATGGTGTCGTAATGAAACGTAAAATGGCATTTAACTGTCGAAGTATTTTGCTGGTGAGAAATTTGAGTTGCTTTAGCGTGTAGAAGCTAGTAAGCCTACTATTGGATTTGTTTTAGATACTGTAGGCACAACATGTTTCATATGCAGGTCTTATTTTCCTGTTCAATGTTAAAATAAACCATTTTCAGTGGTACCGCTGAGAAAGAGTAATTTTTTTGGTCATGGAAAATGAGTTAAAGGTCATGGAGAAGTCATGGAAAAGTCATTGAAAATCATTTGTGAAAAAGTGTATGAACCCTGTCATTAGTTTTTAGATGAAATGAATGATAACATGAAACAAGGCTCCTTTAGGCTGAACAATCCAATATATCTTATTGAAAAAAACCTCATACAAATATCAATATCTTTTGGAATCAACGTGTATGTATAAACAAGTAAAATAAGGCAAGCTATCCATTTTCTTCCCCTCCATGAGCCGCTGTGCGTCTTATACACACAGGTTGGAGCACCAAGTGGGGTCAGCTGTGGGACAAGGGAGCTTGATTCAGTGTGTCATCTATTGTTTTTAAGTGTAAACTTCCTTAGCCAGCCTGATTAAATCCACCTGGTCATGTTGGAGTTGGGATCGTGTAATGGGACACAGACATCTGGAAATGCACCCTTTGCTAACATCATCATAACAGTCCCCTGGAGAACACTTGGAGTCAAGCTGTTGGTGTTTGAGAGAAGAGGAGAAAGTGTTTGCATCATACAGTTAGGCCACGTCTTCTAGCATCTCCCTGTGTGTCTCAATCGATGAATGTGGCGTCACAGCTGCCTGCTTGTGATGCTTGTGATGCTTCTATGAAAGCAGAACTCTCTCTCAGCCCTTCCTTCTCTCTTTCTTGCTTCCTCCTTCTCTTTCTCTCTCTCTCTCTGTAACATGATCAGCGTTGCAGTGGAGCCGCTGTGCGCTGGCGATTTCCCTGTGACTTACACAGCGCTGCGGTTTAGCTTGTTGCACATGACAGGAAGCAGGGCTGCTGCTTCGGGTGCAGGGCCGGCACAGTCGCGTGTAATGCTTTCAACAGACGTGTGTTTTACTGCTGCTCAGGTGGCTGTTTGTCCCCTGAAGAGCCAGACTTCATGTACAAACATACTCTTAGATATCTGCAATCACACTTCAATCCAAGTATCTTTGTGAAGCTATTCTTAACATGAGTGGCTCAAAAAATGCTAAATGCTGGTTTCATGTGGACAACCGAGAAAGTCGGGGGTCTGGTGGAAAAATGTGTACATATCATCAACCATCATGGGCCAAATGATTGGTTAGAGAACACTTAAAAGCGAGCACTTTCTTTCCTTCATTGGCTTGTGCACAGATACCAGCATATTCAAGGCGTCTCAAACTCTTTCACCCTCACTAAACTCATACTGTATAGCCAAACAGTGTTCAAAACCACAGAAATGTGTTTTCAAATTCTAGTGGAGATCCAACAATTCAAAAAGATCCCAAACAAGTGAGCGTTTATTCTCAGGAAATGCGCGCTGGAATATTTCCTCAGTGTAAACATCATATAGCTACTGTATATTGAGGAGCTGTTACACAATGCTGTAGATGCAAGTTATACTTTGAGCCACGTGTTGAATAATTTGATTCCCATTTTCTTAGCTGCTTAAACCTCTAAAAACCAGACAAACTCATAACAAATGTTGTGTACGTCCATGGCGCCTATAGTGAGAGGGTGATTAAGATATAATATGTTGTCAGAGATAACATGGATTACAACATGGTTCACTTGACACATAAAGCTGCATATTGGAAAAGGATGTAAGAGCTTGATATCCGCACATACAAAGTGCAACAGTGGTAGTGTTAGAGGAATAGCAGTAGAACAAGAAGAAGGAGGGAAGAACAGCAAGCACAGGGGAAAAAGCAGCAGCCAAGCTCTTTTTCACTCTGCCTGCCTCAGCAGTGGTGCAGTAGGAAAACACAGCTCTGCATCTCAGCTGCACGACTCCCAAATGGAAATATGACAAGGTGGAAAATGAGTCAATCCCGCTTCGCCAGCTGTAGCGCATTGTCACAGTTCTTCTCCCCACTTTGGCTCAGCAGAAGACGCTGATCAAATCCATACAGTCTGACCATCTCCTCTGCAGAGTCCAACGCTCAGCCGGGGCTTATTGGCTAAGCTATTCATCACCATTTTCATTGCTTAGCTTGAGCTTAAAGTTGCACTTTCTTAGGAATTAATTCTGAATCTTACCAAGTGGTTTTAGGTTTATACTTGTGATCACATCTTGACCTAGTTGTGCACGGCTAGCTTTTAGCCTGTTTGCCACTTGAAGACATTCATGCATTTCATATCTTTCACTTCTCTATGAAACTCAAAACAGGAAGTTATGATGATCAGCTAGATCATCCATATGGCATGTGATTTATTTCTTGTCTTTTGTTTTATTATTATGCTTCTGTCAAGAACACGTGCTTTATTATCACATAACTGTCAAGTCAGATGGATTCCATTCCTATTTTGTCTTTCCTTGAATGCCAGATGTCAGTTGCTTCGCTTTCGTCATGTTCACCTTTTTGTTGTCCACCCGCAGCTGTCTGAGCCACTGTTTCCCTGTGAACCTCTGAACTCTGTGGTTGTTTCTCTGATCTCTTGTTGCTCTGCTTTTGTACGGGTTGTTAAGAGCTTCTGGGGTTGAGCCCTTGTGAACTGCATTCAAATAAGCAAGGCATTCTGGAGCTTACCAGAGCCACAGTACACACAGAACCATCACAACATCAAATCAAAAAGAAATGTTTCATTTGAAGTGACATTTATTCGTCTTCTTCCGTCTTTTAGGAGCAGCCAAAGATCATCGAACCGCTGGACTATGAAGCTGTGGTGTTCCAGAGGAAGGCCCAGATCCACAGCGACCCCCACAGAGACCTGCTGCTGTGCCCTGTGGACGATGTCTCGGTGAGTCCCCTCATGCTTTGTCTCTCGCCTTCCTCCCCCACTGAAAACAGCCAAATCAGCATTTTATTTCTTGTTAAACTGCCTGAGCCAAACGGGGAACAAAGAGGTGTAAAATATCCCAATCCAAAGAAAGATGTCCCATCATAAATCACTCTTCCACTAACACACCAGGCTTGATTATTTACACTTCAGTCAAACACAACCCAGCCAGTTAAACATGTGGTTTTGTTTAGAGCCATGTCTTGCTCTTTCTTTACCTTTTGACACTCATCTGTTTCCTTGCATCTGTGTCTTCTTTTTTCTTTCATTCACTTTCTCTCTACCAGTCGTTGTTGAGGGCTTCCTGCTGTTTTACTATTCGATGGGAGGATAAAGGACTTTCATTATAACATTGTTGTGTTGTGTTTCGTAGGAGTCCCAGATCTCACGGCAGAGGAGGACCGTCGTTCCCTCTGTGCCTCAGAATGCAGAGCGAGAGGCCAGGAGTCTGTTTGCCATGGAGGTATAATCCATCCGGCCCATGTGTAGGACTTGACACTTACTAGTCTCAAACTGCACATACGTTGCAGTGACTCCTTTCTAAAAACAAACGTACAACATTGAAGCTACGGCATTTATTCTTGAGGTTACAAAAATGTCTTGATGACTTCACACAAGACTTTATGCATGAAGTGGTCACTTAAAGCTCCTAAAGGAACACATAATGCACAGGCCAGTGCTTAACACATGCTCTACTGAAGATATATTGTGTAAGAAATGAAAAACAGACTCTTCTGGCATGATGTGGATCTATGCCGCTTTTCTGCCTGGCTCTAAATCTGTTTCCCTCCGCCAGCTCCCGTGACTGTGATATAGCATGGAAACAACTGTCATAGGGATCGTTAAAACAGATCCAGGCTTACTCAGCATCTATTAGACAAAGGTCCTTTCAGTTGACTTAATTGAGAAGTTCTGCTTGTAGTTCACATTGAATTAAAAGTGATATGCACAGTGAAAACCATCTCGAGTAATGCCAAGTAGAACTCACGGCAGGGCTAAAGAGTTCTTCTGCGACTTATTTTGAGTTCATAAATTATACAGAGCTGGAGGATCTGTCTGGAAAGAACTGTGTGCTCTTTTGGGTCACGTTGCTGCTATGGGATGCTTGTTGTATTTCTGCCGCCCCTAATCTAGCTCTCTGTTTGGCAGTGCATCAAGATGTACAACACCGACTGGCATGTAATCAACTACAAGTACGAGGCTTACTCTGGTGACTTTCGCATGTTGCCAAGGTAAGGAAAACATATTTTTCTACTGCTAGTGCAAAACAAGTTCTATACTGCCAAACATGCAACATGTGAAAGAGATTTACTCTGCTCAGGTGGGTCTGCTGGATGACAACATGCAACACATCTCTGTCGCTGTATATACATGTAACATGATGCCTCAGCAGTGAAGAGGACATACTGTAAATCAGATTCTCCTTTACAACACAGGTGCAGCACAGATGTTGTAATTTATTCAAATGGTGATAAAGCTTCCTAAAGGAAATATTTGTTAACCCCACAACATGCACTCAAACCATACATTGGAATGAAGGAGACATGCGTAACAACATTTTACATACGCCCTCGAAATTCCAGAAAAAAACCCAAACACAAATAAAATAACCAATTGCAATTATTTTGACTGGAGTATGATGAATAGATGGAGTGGTTGGTCATTTTGCATCATTATTCTCATTATTATAAAAAAAGAAATCATGGTGGAGGATCTGTAACAAACTTAATTATAAAATATAATTTGTAGCCCGGAATATCTCTGCTGCTCAACAATACTTTATTCAACATTTTATTTTACCACATATTTAGCTATATAAAACTACGGAGCCCCTAAAGGGACATGGAAAAAAAAAAAAGAGAGAGAGAGAAAAAGTCGGGATAACGGTTTAAGAGACATAAAAAAAAATATGAGAAAAAAAATAAAGTCAAGAAAACGGGTTAGTTTCCCGTGCGCACAAGAAACGAATCCGTTATCCTGACTTTATTTTATTTTTTTAGAAAGTTACCGATGCGCCAAGGAGGAAGTGGAGACAACCATTTCATTGCAGACTGTTATGTTTACGTGGGGAAATAACAGTGCATACATTATTTGAGATATATTTTGAACACAGACTTAATTTTATGGACATTTCGGCCAGGGGTGTAGAGCTATTTGTTTAAGCACCGGATTGGCAAAACAGGAGAGTCTGTAAACCAGTCTGCTTTGATCTATGAATTAATGTCCGTGAGTACCCCGGCTGAAAAAAACAGCTTAGACCAATTTAGCTGGTTTAGAGGGGTTTTGGACACTTTAGCTGACCAGGATGGCTGGTTTAGCTGGTTTGGTTTAGCTGGTGCTCCTTCATAAAACTAATAAAAGGGGGAGTAATCGGGCAGTTCGTAGAGGTGTGTGTGTAGAGGTGTGTGTGGTTAAAACGTAACAGCCTTCACGTCACTCTTTATAGCTGTTCAATGAAAGTAAACACAGTGTAGGCGGTGCGTAAAAGCTCTTTGTGCGCTGTTGCTGCTCTTCTCTGAGTTGCACGTCCCGCTGCCTCCTGGAGTGACCACACACCCCTGGCCCAAAAGTCCTTAAGGTGAAGTCTGAGTACGAAATATATCATTTCCCCACGTAAACATAACAGTCACTCTGCAATGAAACGGTTGTCTCCTGTGCGCTCCACTTCCTCCTTGGTGCACCGGTTACTTTCTCAAAAAAAAAAAGAAGAAAGTTAGGATTACGGGTTAGTATTTTGTGCGCACTTTTTTTCTTCTTTTTTCATGTCCCTTTAGGTTCTCCGTATAAAGCATATATACTTCCTACAATTAAAATATTGTACTATTCCGCATTGCAATTTGTACTAAATACACTGTCAGATACGGTGCTGCTAAACTTACTGACCAACACATACAGTAAAAAGCAACGGCAACAGTTCAAGCAGCGAGTTGTTGCATGTTTTACGAAGAGTCAAGACGTAGACAAATCTCACCACAGGGGGAGTACAGTGGGGAAGGGGCTGATTTATTGAAGGCTGCTGACACTCACTCGCTGTCTTTTCAAAGCAAAGGCCTGAAGACAGACAAGCTGCCAGCTCATGTGTTCGAGATCGATGAAGACGCCAAAGACGAGGTGAGTAGGGGGGCCCGTTAGATCACAGTCATTGATCAGTGCAGCAAGGATGAGTGGTCTGGTATTGACTCACCAGACCCTTTATGGACAGATTGTGCCACACATATATAGGCACAGCTTTTAGTGATGTACTATAAACCCTGCCCGGAGATTCAAAAGATACGTTTGAATCTTTTGGATTATAGAGATAAGACAAATTTGGCTCCTTTCAAATGCCTCCATATCCTGGAAATATGAGCAAATGTAGACATGCATTTAGCTGGTTATTCTGCTGGATGATTTTCTGTGACTGATGGTCTGTCGGTCCTTCAGTCCAGCCAGCAGTGAGACCCCTCAGAGACTGAGCGTGAGGAGGGGAAATCAGTAGCTTTATACGTCCTATAAATAGCCCGCATCGATCCTCCTCCCTCTAACCGGATGCGGATAAACTCAGACAGAGAACAAGTTTAATTTAAATTAAAAAAAGACTGCTTGAATGGGGATGGCAGGGAGAGGGTGGTTCTGTTCCTTCTCTAAATGGGAAGTGCTACTGCTAAAAGCTGGGGGCGTGTAGAAACAACATTTAGGGAAATAGAGAAAACACACATGCAGGTGATCATTATATATTTATTAGCTTCTGAAAAGCTTTACTATGTCTTTTTATAGCTATCCACAGACCGTAACAATAAATCATAATCAATACAAATTCAGTCAGGGACGTGACACATGATGCAAGGTTTGGTGTGTCTGAGGGAAGCATAGACTTCTACAGAAGGAGAGCAGCCAGCCAATTAGATTACAGGACAGCTGGAAGGAGGGGTGGTGTGTGACGCTTGGAGGACAGAATGCCTCTTCAATGTGATTAGTCTGGTCTCAATTGTGCACACACATAAACACACATACACACCTCGACCCCTTTCAATCAATGTCATAATATGTGTGTCACGTTCCCGGTTTACATTAAGTTAACTAGCGCTCCTTTTACTGGGCATTCCTCCAAGTGGCGTTACTCCTGAAAATGTGTGTGTGGTGTATATGAGAGAGACCATTCCCTTGTGCTGAATGTTATTGGATATTGTGATGCTTAATAAGTAAGAACAATTAACAGGAAAGTCTGTATAATTTATTCTGTCTTGATTGCTTTTCAATATGTGTCTGTGCCTGTCAGGACTCAGCCTCGCTGTGCTCCCAGAGGGGAGGCATCATGAAGCAGGGCTGGCTGCAGAAAGCCAACATCAACAGCAGCCTGTCTGTCACCATGAGGGTGAGTCACCACCAGACGCCCTGTCTGCTATTCACACAACATAACAGCAACAAATAACACAACAACAGCAACAGCGCAGTAGGGTTCACCACAGAACTAGAGAAGCAAGGTTTTTTTTTTTTCTACATTTATGCTTAAACTTGCTTGAAAATTACAATTAAAAAAAGTGAGTGTAGGATTTGATATGTTTTACGAGACATAAGGGCAGGAATTCAGAGGGAAAGGAGCAATTTTGAGCTCTGCTCTTAAAAACGGCTTTTTTTTAAGGTCATACGTCAAACGCGTCATATTACATCACGCAGGGGACACATCTCCGCTCTCAGAGCGGAGATGTGTCCCCTGCGTGATGTAATATGACGCGTTTGACGTATGACCTTAAAAAAAAGCCGTTTTTAAGAGCAGAGCTCAAAATTGCTCCTTNTTTCGGTCTTAGTTAGGTTGAAGGAGGGTAACAACCTGGCAAAATCAACGGAATGGCTCGTATTTGCCAGTGTCTCCTACGTTAAGAGGGAGGCGAGAAGTGGGTCGGGAGTGTTGTGGACCTGTGATTCCTTTTGAGTATGCAATCTTACGAATAAGGTATCTGGAAGGTCCGGAGTCGTGGAGTTGCGGTAGGGTAGGGGTTCGTCGAAACCACCACCTTTTGCATGGTCTGGACCCGGAGTCGGGGTCAGAGAAAGGGACGTTGACCAAACGACCTGGAAGGAGTCTTCTTCTCTTGTGTTCGACAAATTGCCCAGGTTGTTGGTTGTTGGAGTTTGCTGATCTGCTTCATGACCAGCCTTTCAAAGCACTTCATGATGGTAGAAGTCAGTGCGACGGGGCGGTAGTCGTTGAAGCAGAATGGAGATGACTTCTTTGGCACAGGAATGACTGTCTCTGTTTATTCTTGTATGTTGGTGTGATGGTTGTATGTGGCTGCCTGCTTAAACATGTCCCAGTCTGTAGTTTCAAAGCAGTCTATGACACCTGATGTACTTATATGATTCTGTTTTCTTCAAGTTTGTATCTTCCTGGTTGAATGCACTTAAGTCGCTTTGGATAAAAGCATCAGCTAAATGCAATGTAATGTCTTGAAGTGCAGCAGTACTGTCCTCTGACCACACCCGTACCTGTTTTGAAACCGGTTTGGTCGCTTTTACCCTGGGTCTGTAGGCCGGTTTCAGCAGAACAGTGAGGTGGTCAGAGAGGCCGATGTGGGGAGGGGGGATGCCTTGTATGCTCCCTACAGTAAATGTAGGCTACAATGTTTAATTTAGTCACTTTTTTGGTTGTTTGTGTGCCGCAGGATTTCTTTTACGTAAAAAATATACCGTGGCTCAAAAAATATTGAAAAACACTGATTTAATCTATACATTTAAAAAGACAACATTCTCTACAATAAACGTTTTGCAGTGCTTCAGATTGAGGTTGTCCTAATACTGGGTCATTTCCAGGTGAAGTAAGGTAAACGCTGCGGTCTTTTGGGTGCTTCCACTCTATGCCAGAAGCCAGAATGAGTCTCCTCACTCTACCCATTCATCTTCTGAATGTGTTCATCAAACTGAAAGCTTCCTGGCAGCCTCTGCTGTGACCGCTGACCTGAATGAGGTACCAGCCTGCGCCGTGAGCCAACCGCAGCACCCCCCTATAATCCCACAGAACGGGACTTTTCTGCCGAGTCCTCGGAATGCAACAAATCTGTTCAATCAAAGCGACTAAAACCCCTTGGAGCGTGGCGAGGCGAGGAAACACACCGATGTTCACGAGGATGGGAGCTTGTGCCAAAAAACTGAAAACTAACAGTGAGCAGAGGGTCAAAAGTGTTTGATTAAGTAAGCAGCGAGGTTTATTTAGAGCTTAAGAGTTGTAAAACAGAAGAATCTTAAGCCTTTTATACCTGAACAACGTCTATGCAGGAGTCCAGGTAGATGGATCCTTTTGTGTCCTTGCAGTTCTTCTCGTCCTTGTAGGAGTTGAGGATGTAGGAGCCGTCGGGGAGCTGAGACAAGTAGAAGTACCTCCTCTTGAACACCTGCAATTAGCGACAGTAGAGATCAAGAAAGAGGAAAATCGAACAGATTGAGGATTGTTTATGCTGTTTTTGGCCTAAATTGATTTTAAAATGGGGGATGATGATGATGATGATGATGTATGATGGGGTTGGTTTAATGCAGAAGTATACAGAGAATGCTGTACATTCAATAGCAACAAAGGATTAAAGGTGTAACTTTTTGTTTTTGTTTACCAAAAAAAACACTTTGATTTAAATAAGATCAAAAGACAAACTGTATTGCTATCTGTACACCGACATTTGTACCCTTTTTCGTTTTAATTTAGCTTTTCATTGATAAGGTATTGTATTTGTCTTTCAGCCCTATAAATGACCTTGTTAAATATCCTACCTTGAAACCTAAAGTATCGGTTTACGTATATATAGAATGTTCTTTACTTATGTGTGTCTTTATAAGCATACTCATGGAAACCCACCTCCTGACTTTGCAGTTAAAATGCAAAAACGTTGAAACTGGATGACTAACTGGAGGGCTATATTCTTTATGAGCTAAGCTTTCTTAGATTTGGTTGCTGATTGTCTGTTTTGTTGATTGTCTGTATTAAAGAGCAACTTCCAGGTTAAAGACACCTGTGAATAAATGAGTAGGAAAATGATGAATACACTAGATTTTCAAAAAGATATACAGAAATATACACTACAGTGACATCTGGCGTCGTTTTTGTAAGAAATGTTCACTTCCGCATAAAAAAGCCTCGGCACGTGACCTCCCGCATGTGACGTAACATGGGGGAAATAAGGGGGAGAGCGGCCGGTGTAACGTATTAATAAACATGGATCCCAATGCTAGTTTCGACACAGAAGAAGTTGAACATGAATATTCGAATGCATATGACGGACCACAACCTTATAATTATGAGCCTGCGAGGCGTCCAAGAGACCAGGAGC